GTTGTTTTCGTGAATATGGAAAAATTGGAAAAACTTGCTCTAATCAGATACTTATATTTGAAAGGTTTTACACCAACACAAATTAAAGAAGAGATGAATTCAACACTAAGAGACTCTTAAACATCATATTCAGCCATTAAGCAGTGAATTTCTGAATTTAAAATGGGTCCTGGGAGCACCCCTGACGATCCTCGCTCAGGACGGTCCGTTGGGGTCACAACTTCAAAAATGATTGAGAAAATCCATCAAACAGTGTTGGAAGACCCCAGGGTGAAAGTGCATGAGACAGCTGAGACCTGTAGGATCTCAGCCGAACGTGTTCGAAATATTTTGCACAACCATTTGCACCAAAAACTGATTCAAAAAACATTTCTACCGACAATTTGGGGCTTTATAGGCCGATATTTTTGCGTTCATAACGATTGATGAGACTTAGGTTCACCTCCATTCCACTACACTCCTGAAAATAAGAAACAGTCAAAACAGTGGGTTGCAAAAGGGGAGCGAACTCCAAAGAAGGCTAAAACAATTTTATTGGCAAACAAGCTTTTGGCTACTGTTTTTTGGGATGCGAGGGAATTATATTCATTGATTACCTTGAAGACTGTCACTGGTCAATCTTACGCATAGTTATTGTAACTTTTGAAGCACGAGGTGCAAATTAAACGACCTCATTCGGCGAAGACAAAAGTTCCAAGAATTGTTTGATTTAATGCCGCAAAATAGTTACTCTCCGGATTTACCCCCGGCAACTTTTACCAGTTTCTTAACCTAAAAAAAGGGCTTGGCGGTAAAAGATTTACCAGCAACGAAGAAGTTATCGAACCTGCAACTCAGTATTTTTGGGACGTTTAAAACTGTGAAAACCGTTGTGAGAAATGTATCAGTGTTGATCGAGATTATGTTGCACAATAAAGCAAAGAAAAAAATTAAAAACATCGTTTTCCTTCGTCAGGCCGGAAACCTTTCACTCCACTCTAGTAAAACTAAAATTTGTTGGAGTGGAAAAACACGAGCAAGTGTACAATTATAAACTTTCTGGGTATTCAAGAATAGATGTGATAGAAAAAGAATAGCAACAAGTGGCTATCGAAATGAATATGTGGTTCTGCATTGGCACTTAATAATTAATAATAATGTTTCCTCCGCTACTGTGAACTTCCACTGTCAAGGTATAAGGGGAAATAATTTTTCAGAGTAGTTTCCGAAGAACCTCGGTGTATCAATAAGTCTAGTATTTCTATATTGTTCAGTACTTCCACTGTCACGTTTGAAGCGTGTATTGAATCTTGTCTCGTTTCCTTACGAAGTTGTTAAGCATATTGACGAGTATCCTTCATAACTTGATGATTGATCTGCGTGAATGCGAATTTCTTCTTCATTATTTTGTTGTACTGAAGTACTAGACTGAGACTGTGAAAGAGCTGTGGACTTGCAGGATGATAGTTGTGTCCAAGATGCGTGTATGGATTTCACCGGAAGGAAGGGAGCTCCATTTACTCACTAGCACAAGATATGTCTATGTTTTCGGCATCTCCAACATTATCATCAGTTGAGGAAAGTGGTACTGGCTGCAAGTTTTCAATTGCACTATAGTACTGTCAGCTGTGATGCTGATGGCCTGATATGATGAAACACTTCCTTTTCCTTACTACCTTGTCGCAAATGGAGCGTTCCCATTGACACGTAATTTATTAAGACCTTATTCAAATAGACCAAGTCAAGAGGGTATTCAATTATAGATTGAATCGAAGAAGAAAAACCCATGAATGCGTTTATGGGATGGCGGGGTGTTAAATGAGCCTATGCGATGTCGTGAACCAGCAGTAGTCAATAACGTCAAGGAGAGGTAAATGGGACAGTGGTAGTACCGAAAAATAGAGAAATACAAGATTTGTTATTACAAGAAAGTTCTTCAACCACTACTGTGAGAAATTATTTGACAAACTATTTTCTTTCCACTGGAAATTCGCAGTAGTGGAGAAAAACACGAAACGACATAATTTATTTTAAAGTATCATTAAAGTAATAAAGTAGAGAAAAGTAGGTGCAGAGAGATAATCATTTTGATAGACACTTGTTGCCAAGATTTTTCCGTCACATCTATCCTTTAGGACCCAGAAGGTTAACAATTGTACAGTTCCGCGGGTTTTCCCACTTTTCCACTTAGTTCTTTATCACACAAATTGAGGAAAACAAAATAAGCATGTGATAATCAAACGAAACAATACCTGCTACGCAACTACAACAACCGTTTGCAAACTAGTTTCATTCAAAATTTCAGGAGAAGAAAAAATTTCTATTAAGCCTGTCTATTGTAATACTATTTACAAATATTTTTGATTCATCCTGCCTCGATTGTTTATAAATAAAACTTGCTGACATTTGCTCAATCATCCTGTTGGCTTCTTCAGAATGAAACTGACTCGCACTCTACTCTGTACCTGTTTATATATTGTTTGAGGGGACGGAGCTCAAAGAGGGGCATTCCCATATTGGCGAAGGATCTGAGTCGCGGCTAAGATTGTTTGATTACTTATGGAATTGGATTACATTCAAGAATAACATTTGATGTGTGATTGTGTTCGGTAGTTGCTGATGAGTTCATTTGTCTCTAAAATGTACTCTTTGTCGCATATGTATGGAATGCTGTAATTCCTGGTATCTCAAAAGGAATTTCGTTTTTGAAGGATGGAAGAGCTCAATCTGGTTTTGACGTTATATTTCTTACCATATTTTGATATGTGGTCAGTTATTTGAATTGAATGCGCAGGGTTGCCTTTAGACCCATTGTCTTTAAAGGGTTGTGGTAAAGTGATGTTATGTAACGCTGAATATCTCTAATGTGGATATTATTAGAGAGAAGGTGTGTAAGGTGTTTTAATTCTGGGTTCAATGACTCCGGTTGAGTTTATGTTACGGCTCTGTAACCCATGATTTTTGGGTTGGGTTTGGTTTGGTATCTCCAAAGAGAAATACCCAATATAAGGTTAAATTTTCTATTGAGAAGAATAATGAGAGAATATAGTTTATAATTCAATGGTAAAATGTATATAGAGTTTAAATGGCTAAGAAAATATCGGGGATTCTTGTTCATGGGGACAAACAATAAAAGTCTTATCATAGTTTTAGTTTTAAATGAAAGGTGTCGATGGCTCTCTTCTTAAAGCCTCAGAGCAGTTAACAACATTTACAACAAAAATATGTTCCAGATTACTTTAGATCCAAGCAATATTCTGGTCAGTCTCGACGTAGAATCCGTCGTTACTAAAGTTTCTATCCCTGAAACTCAAAACATTATTTCAGATATATATAAATCCGAGAATCTGGAACCAAACTTTCTCATCTTAATTGGGAAATGCTTGCCTGGAACATATTTTCCTTATAACGTCTAAATTTATGGCCTATGGCTTCTCCGTAAATACCAGTCATCACGAATATATTTATGGAACTAACCAAAACTAAAATTATGGAAACTGAAGATACTTTTGTTATATGCTCTCATGATCAAGAATCGCTCCGAGAGTTTCTTAGCCATTTGTACTCGACACACACTAACATGCATGCTTTTTACCATAGAATTAGAAACTAATAATAATCTCCCATTCTTAGATATACATATCAATAGAAAATCCAACCTAACATTGTTTACAGAAAACCTACGCACAACTTAATACATTGTCACATCGCCATCCGGCTCAAAAATCATCGCTAATCAACTAAATTGTTTAGAGAGTCATAAACCTAACTCAACCAGAGTCACGGAATCTAGAATTAGAACACCTTATTGCGGATCTTCTCTCTAATAATTTCCACGAAACAAACCCACACTTGCCACTGCTGTCCTTCCTTACATTCCAAACATAACTGCCCAGAAATCTTTCAACATCTTTGATCCGTCAAGGACAAATTTCCGTTTGAGATGCCAGGAGTTTACAGCATTCGATGCACATGCGGCAAAGAATAGATTGGAGACATCGAACGAAAATAACATATTATGACACAAGTGCGGTAAAGCCATTTAACTTACGAGTTTATTTGATACGAGCAGAGCGTAGCGGAGCGAGTGTTAAATACTATCTTGCCAAGACCAATTGAACCATTTTCATATATCCATGTCTCATCAGTACAAACAAAACAAAATTGAAGGTTAGGGCCTGCTTTTTATTGCTTATACGACCTTAAAAATTCAATACTCTTAAAAGCTCAAAATCAAAAAAATTTAATCCTCTTAAAAGTTCTATGCTTGGGTGATATTTCTTCCGATTACAGTTTTTTTACTTTTTTACTTAACGATCAATTGTAAAAGTTAAACAAACAACATAAAGTTTTAAAATTGTTTATTCCATTGTTTATATGACATCACAGTTAAAAGAGGCAACAATACCAGAACCGATAGAAACGATAAACGAATAGGTTTATTGGCGACAATTAAATATTTTCTTTACCGGTACGAACTTTAGTAAAACGATAATCTGTTATTATTTTTAATTTGTTAAATTGTTATTTTTTTCGTGACGGTCGTAGAAAAAGTATAGGATGCAACACGTTTGGTAAACTCTTTATCTCACTCGTGAGTCAAATGCCGTTTACCGCACTTGTTGCATAATTACTATTAACTGGGCTCAAAGAACATGAAAAAGCCTTAAGGCTACGACAAATAAACTCATCAGTAGTTGCCGAACACAATCACTAAACCGGACATCACTTCTATCAGCGAAAAATCGGAGAATCTATAGAAATCTACAAGCAACCTTAATCGCGATTCACCAATATGGGAATCAGTCATCCCAGACAATGTTCATGCCTTTCCATTAGCACCTCCCCCCCTCAAATAATATATAAGCAGGTACAGAGTAGAATTCCAGTCAGTTTCAGTTAAGCTCTGAAGAAGCCAACAGGACGATTGGCGAAACGTCAGCAAGTTTGGTTTATCAACAACCAACGCAGGAAGAATCCAAGATTTTTCAATGGAAACTAAGTAAAAAGAAAAATCTCACCGTAACAGCTATATCCGTCCTCCCTTAAGATAAAACCCTCGTTGCAGTCGCACTCGTACATTCCGTCGTGAAGTTCGTAACACAGTTGCTCGCAGGGGCTGCCGTGACCGCACTGACCTGAAACACAAAACGTTTAAAACGGCCATAAATTTTGAATCGGAGCCCGCTTTAAAACCCATTTTTATTGAATAACTCGGATTTAAAGGGTAAAAAGAACGTTCGACGCCCGCTTTATAACGGAAGAGAAACGTTTATTCTCTGGGGTGGTGACTACGAAAGTGTGCCACATATTAACGTTTGATTGAAGATAGTGAGTGATTCAGTGGAATTTTTTTGAATTTTTAAATGACATTTGATAAAGACCCATGTAAAAATATATAATTTCATGAAAATCTGAAGTTCTAGTTCTTATTTATTTTGATAAATGGATTTTCTTCAAGTAAAAGCCACCTCAGTTCAATTTCTGATAATTTTCTACTACTAATATCACCAATAAATAAAAATAACTTAAAGATTAAAAATAATGAAGAATATATTATATACAAAAAAGTAGATACGGCTAAATTAAAACCTCTAACTAAAAATTAAAATTTCCATTGAATATTTTGTAAGACTGACCCTGATCAGGCAAGTGAATTTATTTAAGTCGTTTTAACGATGGTAAATCGAGCAACTAAAATAATTAGAAAAAAATAATAAGAAAAAAGAAGAATGGATAACCGCGTGACTGTTGATACTATAAAGAAGTTGTAATATACAAGGTAAAAATTTTTGTCTACACAGAAAACTCTTTCTTTTCTTGAACATTTTGTTTTACCTTAAAACAATTTGTGTTGAAGTGAAATATTTCTTTTTAGTTTAACGCAGTGTTTCGAAGCAATTCATTTTTTAAAAAAAAACGAGTTGGCTTCATACAAGTCATTGAGAGTTCTTAATTTATTTTATTTAGCATAAAACAAAAATTTGTTTCTATGGAAGCTACGACGCTCTGTCTCCGTTTAAGAAAAATCTAATCTTGAAAAATGGATTTTTACTCAAAACAACCCGGTATAAATTATCTCTGATGAAAATAATAAATATGTCACACGTTCGTCCAAAACAACCTGGCGCATTTGTCTTGAAGTAAAAAAATTAAACCCCCATTGTCTTGAATCGATACATTTTCGTAATATTTGTCTTGGGCCTGTTAGCACACGCATTTCATTTAGTTATTTATGTGATGTGGAGTGAGTTGGCCGGAAAGGTGGCTTTGGTCGGCATCGCATCGGAAACGAAAATTGTGTTATGTTTTGGTGTTAATTTTTGATTTGAATGTGTATAGAAATACCTAGCTCATATGGAAAACCTACGTGACCTTTTGACAGATTGGCATATAGGTGCGTAGGCTTTTGATCATAAAAAAGTAGGAAATTGGATTAAACAATGTAACATCAAAGTCACATTTACCCTACATATCCAACTTCTCTTAATCTCATTTTATATGAGACTGTTTTTTTAATTAAGATTTAGGTGTACTCGTATTTTGTGACTGCGTTATGTTTCCGACATTATATAATAAGTATAAATAAGTATTTTTTGTTATTTTTTGAACATATTACTATGTTCTTTTCATTCGTAGCACTGTTAACTGTGTTATGATTGTTATTATACTTTTAGAATATAAGACTATGTTTCTTAAAGATGTTCTCGTTTGTGGTACTTTTAAGTATGTTGCTGTTACTGTTGAATCCGAAAAAAGAAAAATAAATATTTTTGTATTTTCGTACGATTGAATTTCTTTCCATTTTTGTTCTTCACATCAAAACACCTATACTCCTATGTAAACAATACAATCACTTCTAAAAAACAAATTCAATTTGTAATACTTTTATACATACAGGGCGTCCCCAAAGTCAACGATAATACTGAAAGGGCTGATGGAAAAATTCATAAGCATCAAGAAAAACATAAAATGGCCTTAGTAAAAAATCGATGGTTTTCGCGATATCGTAAACATGGATCAGATTGTCGAGCGTCACATCTAAAAAAAAATATTTTTTTTTCATTTTTCACTTCTTTTAAGTTTTACAAAAGCGGATGTTTTAATGATCAAAGACCAACGTTAAAGTAAAAGTTTCAAAACCTTTAATAAGAAATCTATTTTAAAGTGAAGTATGATAATTTGAATTATTCTCTTGAACTTTTACTTTAACGTTGATCTTTGATCAATGAAATATCCGCGGAAATACCTAAGAATGTAAAGAGTTATTTTTTTTTAGATGTGACACTCGAAAACCTGATACAAGTTTATAATTTTAATGAATTTAATTAAAGTGGCAATATCGAAAACCATCGATTTTTTACTAAGGCCATTTTATGTTTTTCTTGATGCTTATGACTTTTTCCGTCAGCCTTTTCAGTATTATCGTTGACTTTCGGGACACCCTGTGTTTAAGAAAAAAAATATCTTAGAAGAAAATAATATAAATTTCCGTTTATTTTGATTTAAGGGAGTATAATTTTTCATTTGAAGAATAGATGTGTCGTGAAACAAAATAATGCAGATATAGGTTTGTTTTATCTCGAAAATATCTTCCATTTGTTCTAAAATAGTATATGGTCTTGAAAGAAAACTTTAGAAATTTTCATTATTTCATTTTTGGTTAAGAAAATTATTTTGTCTTGGAAGAAGAATCAAAAGGTTTTGTTTTGAATGAGCAAATATTTTTCTTCTAGTGGAAAAGGTGTCTTAGATTGATACACTTTCATTTTATAATAAAACAATTTCTGTTTTGCAATAAAACAGAGTTAAGAGATTTTTTGTGATAAATCAAGAAAATATTCTCTCGGTGAATAGGAAAGCACAAATTGTTTTACTACAAAGCAATTTGCTTTGATATAAGAAAAAAAAATACCGTGTACAAGGCTTAGAAAGCATATTATCTGATCCATACGACAGCAATTTTTTTCAATTACTATTTCTCTACTATACGGCAAAAGTTAACTAAAAAAATTCCGAACCACAACCATTGACTTTTCAGAAAATAATAATAATATCAGAGATTCGATGTTTATTGAAAAAACGGATATTGATAAGATAAAAATTATTAGCGAACTGAAGAATACGACTACACGTGGAGAATAAGGTAAATAGAAAACTAAAAGTTCAGATTCTCACGAAATTATATATTATGACATGACAATTGTTTCGACAACACCGTGTCTTTATCAAATGTACATTTGATACAGACACGGTGTTGTCGAAACAGAGAGAATGAATTTTTTCCATTAATTTCTAAAAACAATCCAAACTTATATTTGAGTTTTGTCAAGAGCGCCTGAAAAATATATCAAACTATTGTTGCTGCAAAGATTTACTTTTTGAAAACAAACACGTTATTTTAAAAATAAGCGATGCCGTTGGAGCTGGCGTATTAATTAGGTATGGACGGTAGTCGTCAAATTAACAGACAACGTTTTTAAAAAATGACAGCATTGTGTGCGCGTCCGCCCCACTCATCAGAAGGGAGAGAATTAATGGCCCCCGCATTTGACTTGCAAAACATGCAAAACACATTAATTAAATGCAAAAAGCGCTAGATGGCGCTGATGGGCGTGCGGCGAACGCTTTTAAAACTAATTAAAGACGATGCATCATGTACAAAGTAGACCCGTTTAAATTTGTACTTACCACTTAAGGGTTGTTCTAGTAGAAAAACTATGTCGCATTATTGAGACTTTTATTTACCTTTTCGCGTTCTGGTTATCTTTAGAAATCAGCTTCTTTGGCATTTTTTTAAATCTCTAGTTCTCAGTTCTTTTCTTAAATGTAATGATGTATTTTCTGACTATTACTTTTCAGTGAGAAATAACACGTTTGTATGTAAAGCAATACTCCGCGTCGGTTGTTGAATCGAACACGACGTCTCGCCAATCATCCTGTTGGCTTCTTCAGAGCCCAACTGAAACTGGTTTGCATTTTACTTTGAGCCTTCTTATATACTGCTTGATAACATATTAATTAACTGCGACTTTGTTGTTTTTAGATATATCAAGGTAGCCAAGTTTTTTTCCAAGTGACGTATAAAACAAAACACTATCAATTTTCTGACATCTAAGGCTACATCATATTTTGTAGAGGGAACATCCTGTATATTATATATGTGTTTAATAGAATATCTTTTTCCGATTACAATAATGTAACACACTTTATATTTTAATCCACTCGCTTTTGTCAAATCGGCAAACATAGGAAATTTTTATATGATTTCAAAGAGTGCTCTGACTGACAAATGAAAATATCTTTGTTTGACACATTAGTAAACAACGCTGATGGTTGAATTATTGTCGAAGCCATTATTGTTAAAATTGTTTTTCGCTAATTTAGCATATGTACTTTCTGAACAATTAAAGTGCAACCGCAGTCGTCAGTATATTAGAATTTATCCAGAGCGCCGAGCTCCTTCAAAACAGACATTTCCAGGTATGGCAAAGAAATTTGCAGAAAATGGTAACGGCTTAAATGCTAAAAAGATATGCCGGAATTATAATGTTTTAAATGAAGAAAATAAGGCAAACATATTAGGATTCTATGAAGCACATCCAGTTTTCTCTTTTACTAGAGCATAAGAAGAGGCCGACATTTCCCGGGAATCAATACACTTAGTTTTGAAAGAATATAAATATTAATGCATTTAATCGTGAAACTTAAAAACTAAGTGACGAAACTGACGAAAGTCCGTTCACTATAAGAAAGGGTTCTAATAACCAAAATACGCGATATTGGTCTTTAAATTATCTTAGACAAATACACGAAATAAAAATCCAGGGGTACTAATCAATTAATCTATAGTAATGTATACTTATACATAAAAAGTTAACTGGAGATCATTATTTACAACTCTTAGAGCACCAAATAGAACAATATATAGAAGATTTACCCCTACATATATCAGAGTTGATTATATGGCTGGAAGACGGTGCACAATGTAGTGAGAGTGCGAGTTACGGATTGGCCAAACAACAGCACCGATTTAACTTTAACGGATTTAACTTCGGCAAATGATTGAACTGAGGTGGCTTTTACTTGATGAAAATCCATTTTTCAAAATAAATAAGAACTAAAAGTACAGATTTTC